TATCTTTGCCCTCTTCCCCTGTCAGCTCACCAATTTCTTCAAAAAAGTAATTTGCAATATGCATAAGTTAGCTCTACCACCACCTGATAGCGCAGCTACACGACCTTCTAGCACATGAGAACTCCTATTAAAACCATCTACCACCGTATCCCCGGATGTTAAGACAAGTAGGCGCACAGCAGCACCACGTGCAGAGCCAGTGCTTGATGTCAGGTGGCATCACAATAGCCGCCTTAAACGCATAACGCAGACAAGGCGGCTCAGTAAGGAGGAGATAATCACCGTAGTCCACAGTCAAGGAGAGTCGTACAATCCACCTTTTGGTGTGGTAGCACAGTTGGACCACATAGGAATGGTGAAGTGGAGTCAAGGCAGGCTCTGCAGTGGGACTACTAGGCGAGGCGAGAAGGTGTCAACGATGACGAGTGGGTGTCGAAGCAGAGCAAAAGGCCACATAATCCAAACACATCGACAACAAGTAAGCATGAGATATTAGTGGTGGTAATGCTTCAACTAGCCATCAATTAATCCACCCTATGCTTTTGCTTGAGTCCCCAGTGTTCGCCTCATCGGTGGTGACAAGCAGGTGTGGCTCCACCCTACTTGGGTGTATCAAAAGGCGTCTTCAAAGAACAGACTGCGGTAATTGTGTTATTGGAATCCATGGAACTCGCGCAATCCCCCAAATCAAATTTACATCGATGTCTTCTCTTGTTTAATTGTGAAAGTCATTACTTTTCGATGAGCTGTGCCCATCAGGTAAAGCGTTGTGGCATGAAGTGGAGGTGAATGACAAGAATGTGGGCATGAACTCGGAAGCCATCTCCCCACCACTAGTTGAGGCATATTATTGTGAGGAACACAAGGTTGGACGGGTTGACACCTGCGAGGAAAGAAGTGATGGGGAGGATAAGTAGCGGCATGCAAAGACATGTAGGTGGTCAAGGTGATTGGGTAGGCCATTGTTTTCCTTCGTGAAAAGGCGCATTCATTGCAGAAACGCCTAGTGTGAGAGGCAAGTAGGAGAGACTCAAGTTCCAACCTACACTTATTAGTTGTTTCCGCTAAATCCTTCTCCATCTGTGAGCTATCCTGCATTTCTCAAGTAGCGACAGTCATCCATTCTCCAATGCTTTAGGTCCATTCTTTGAAAGGACCCTTGGTTGACATCGGCATTTGATGCTAGTCTAGAAATGCACAATCTTTTAACTGTTGCGCATTGTTTTGCAAAGGAATATGCGATTCGTGGCTGGAATTGTTACTTCGACGTGTCCTCTTGTACCTGGATTATCCCGACTAAGTTTAAGAGCACACTCAACAACAACGTTACGGGTATGCACGACTAAGGGCTTAATGGAGGAAAAGATGTGCCCCCTCATTTTCGTGGACACGAGATATCTCATTAAGCCATTGAAATGTGGTACTGGTAACTGCATGATCGGTCAATGTGGCGTGGACTTCTACTTGGCCTACCCTTTTGCGGTCACCGTGCAACCCATCTCCAAGAGTGGTGATGGCATGCATTGGAGGTGGGAGACCGCGGTTAGTAACCCACTGACCACCCGTCAGTTGAATGAAAAACCATTAAAAGCGCCAACGGGAGTAGCTAAAGTCCGCATATTTTGAAGCGATTGCTCGTAAGTACTCAAATGGTCGTGTGACACGGACTGATACGCACATTTTGATTATGATAAAGCCCATTCCTGAACTTTCTACCCAGCTCATATAAATAATTGTAAAGAAGAGTGATCGTTGGCGTGCTCTTGGGAATGGTCGTAGTCTGATACCAGGCCATGCACGAATGAATGAAGAGTGGATTGCATTGAAGATGGGTGTAAGTAAGCTCTTTCCTAATACTGAGCATACTTTCGCGATTAACCTGACAGAAATATTGCAACGTCTTGTGCATTTTGGGTGGTGCCTTCTACGTGCTCTAATTTCCCTCCCTAACCAACCGCATTGGCAGCTGATTGCGAAGACTGCTAACGAAAGCGCTTCAAGTGCTTGACTCTCTTCAGCCGAACAACATTCGATCCTCAAATACTCACATCTGCATTTCATCAGCCATTGGGTGGCACCAGACGATTTGGGTTTGACTGAGGCGCTTTCAAAAATTGCGGTATTTGTGGTGTGGGAGTCATTCTACCACTGCAAGCCTCGAAGTCACTTTCTTCCTTATTTTGTCTATTTGACTATGGCGCTTGTCATTGTGCTCTGAGCTGCGTCAATCACATTGGGCATGGCGACGAAGCGCCGAAGTGTGTAACAAGCAGTAGAGCTCGCACACAGAAGTGAAATCATCACCGGTTGTTAAGGCCGCCACACATTGGTGGCCCTCGGCTTTTCCGATGTTACTTAACTAGTGATTCAAATAACTGACCATTCCAGTGAATGTTTCGTGTCTCTCTCCGTGTGTGTATGTCTTCATCAGCTAGCCATTTGCCAGGAAATGGAAGAGAGTTGAAGACGAAGGCGTGAATGCTTTTAAGATTCCTAGAATTGTAAGATGCCAGCCTTAGGTACACTTTAGCAAGTGTACTCATTGGGTATTGCAATTGACAATTGTAAGAGCCACTGTAACCGACTAAACGAGTGATGTATTCATATTTAATTTCATAGAGCTATCGGCTTAAAGCAATGCTTTTTCATCGCAGCTACAATAACTCAACCTGCCTTTACCAGGGAATACTATCATTTGCATTTAAGCAGAACAAATTTAACAGTACAAAAGGTAAGGCAAGCACGTTGCATGATTTCCAACTCTAATTTGCTGTGGAGAATCAAAGGCTCCATTTTGGTATTCTACTTGACCCATTATGCTGGAGGCAGCGAAGTCAGTTAAGAGGGTGACAGCACTCAGTATGTGCTTACACAACTCATTGCTTGGGTCTCATAGGAATCAGAATACTACCAGCAGGAAAGTGTCGATATACTGACACTTCTACACTGATGCATTTCTGCCACCCAAATGTCAACACGCAGCCCAAATCACTGCTCACGACAGTGCTCACAAACAGGCGAGTTCAAGTTGGAGCCTGCATTGTGCGTCATTGCTTCCGAGTGCGCAGTTGCCAGTAAATGTGGAGAAGCATGGAATGGTGGCAGCTGCTGGTTGGCTAACAGCATTATAGTGGGTAGCGCGCATCGCGGATAGGTTCTGCTGGATTACCTCCAACTGATAAAGAGGGTTGCAGAGATGGTGGAGGTAACCATTATTCGGCACAACAAGTTAGCTTTTGTACATCCCACGAAGCTATGTCAACAGGTACCGCCATCGGCATTGACTTAGGAACGTCCTTCTCGTGCGTCGGTGTGTTCAAACACGGCAGTGTGGAAATCGTAGCCAACGATCAGGATCACCGCATAACGCCCACCTGTGTGGCCTTTACAGATAAGGAGCGTTTATTTAGTGAAGCTGCAATGTACCAGATGGCTGTAAACCCTACCAATACGGTGTTCGACGTGAAGCGTCTGATTGGACGCACTTTCGACGACAAGGCAGTGCAGGGCGAT